TGCTGAGTCGATGCCATAGCTTTTTCCCTGCGTTTGCATGATTTATCGTCATCTCTCCTCTGGTGGCCTGTGTTTGCATCTATCATTGTTCATCCTCACTTTTCTCAGGTATTTCTCTCTTTGAACCGCGCGCTTGTGCGCGTATTTACTGGCTCGGAGAGCCGGAGCCGCCGCAGGTTTACCTGCCGACCTTTGAGATCCGGCATGTATCCGACCCATTGACGTCGCCCCACGAGCTGCAGACTATGCTTGGGTACAGCGCGGGTTACTCGCAGGAGGTTTTGCGGTTTTCCGGGGGCGATGCGGTATCCTTCGACACCATCATTGCCACCGCGCGCGACGACATCGCCTTCGATCCCAACAAGCTGCGCATAGGGGAGCGCTTCTTGGAAAGCTCGAAAAGGCAGCTGAAGAGCGAGCACGAGGTGATGATCGTTGGCGCCTACATCAACCAGACGCTCACAATTTACGTCTACAAATTCCACTGCTACATCGGCTGCATCAAGGAGCATGTGATAAGTCGCTTCGACGACGATCCGACACGAGGGGACTTCAATGCCATGAATTCGCCACTGCTCGTGCGGTTCTCGGGTTATCCGATTGGCAGAGCTGACGCCAACTGTGCGGTCGAGGTTGTGTCTGACATTGTGTTGCGAGCCAGCCTAGTTTTCAGGCTTGACCCTTCGCCGCGGTGCGTCAAACCCATAACTGCTATTCCGCTGTCTGTTCGGGCAGTGCTCGATTCAGCCGACTACGTTTCTGCGCTGCCGTTCTCGGTCACCTTTCAAGACGTCAATCTGGTCACGCACGTCTCCCCGAAGTACTTCCCGCTGGTGCGCGGTGCAGACATTACTTGGCAGCCGGGGCACAAGACTGCTGATGCTTCAGCCGGCATTGCTCGCCGCACTGATCTTACTCTCTTCAGCGGACCGCTCCGCCCGTTTCTCCCGTACATCTGCGTCTGGGTCAGACCATTGGATGAGGGACTTGCAATTACGGAGGTTGTGCCCTCTGCCACTGACCGGCTCTTCGTGTCACCGAGTTCGGCGTACTCGGCGCCGTCAGGGGCACGCATAAATGAGGGCGGCGGAAAGGCGCTCTTCTGTCAGGTAGCGAACGTTACTTCGGGCTTCTTAGCTGTTGAGGCTCATTGTGCGTCAACACAGGCCGGCGAATTCTCACCGCAGTCAGTGTTCGGAAGCAGCACCGCAAGACACCATTACCTCCATCTGCCACAATTCGTGCTGCGCAACCAAGCACTGCTGTCAGCAGAAATGTTCGGCAGTTTCGACGACGCAGCTCGCAGTTTCTTGAATGACGTCACTTTACAGAAAGCGCCGCATCTTAGAGAGTTGCGGGTACCGCTGGGCTTAACAGAGGGCGGCTTGTATCACAAAGGCGAACTTTCCTACGGCTACATCTTCGAAAAGGGCTACATGGAAATTGGCACAGTCATTGGAGAAAACTTTGGTTCGGGCTGTCATTGGTTGTTCTCTGCGGACTACGTTGGCGACACCAGCTGCCAGAACGTAGACCTGCTGGACCATATGACGCACACGGTCCCTGAGCCCTCCAGTGTGACATCGCACACGGAGACTATGCGCGCTTTCCCTCCGAAGCTCATCGTCTTCGCCAGGTATCTGGTCTCAGTGGCGTTTCTGCTGAAAGCCATCGCGCAGAGCTCTCC